TCTCTCTCTCTCTCTCTCTCTCTCTCTTCAATTGTTGCCATCCTTTTATTCTTACTGGTGAAAAAGGTGTGTTTAGCCTCCTCCTATAACTGGGATCTGTTAGCAGTGGGGCCTAATGGGACCGAAGCCTATCAGAACTTGGATCTTTTAACCTTAGGACTTATTGACACTAGGACCTATTGACACTCGGACCTATTGACACTCGGATCTATTGACACTAGGACCTATTGACACTAGGACCTATTGACACTCGGATCTAGGATCTATTGACACTAGGACCTATTGACACTAGGACCTATTGACACTAGGACCTATTGACACTAGGCTCTATTGACACTAGGCTCTATTGACACTAGGATCTATTGACACTAGGACCTATTGGACACTAGGATCTAGCTGACACACCAGGACCTGCTGACACCAGGGACCCACATTGACACTGGATCTAGGACCGATGGACACTAGGACCTGGCTGACACCAGGCCTACTGACACCAGGCCCCATTGACACTAGATCTATTGGACACCAGGACCTATTGGACACTAGACCTATTGACACTCGGATCTATTGACACTCAGGATTCATTGACACTAGGACCTATTGACACTCGGATCTATTGACACTAGGATCTATTGACACTAGGACCTATTGACACTAGGATCTATTGACACTAGGACCTATTGACACTAGGACCTATTGACACTCGGATCTAGGATCTATTGACACTAGGACCTATTGACACTAGGACCTATTGACACTAGGCTCTATTGACACTAGGCTCTATTGACACTCGGATCTATTGACACTAGGATCTATTGACACTAGGACCTATTGACACTCGGATCTATTGACACTAGGACCTATTGACACAAGGATCTATTGACACTAGGACCTATTGACACTAGGATCTATTGACACTAGGACCTATTGACACTAGGATCTATTGACACTAGGACCTATTGACACTAGGATCTATTGACACTAGGCTCTATTGACACTCGGATCTATTGACACTAGGATCTATTGACACTAGGACCTATTGACACTAGGATCTATTGACACTCGGATCTATTGACACTCGGATCTATTGACACTCGGATCTATTGACACTCGGACCTATTGACACTCGGATCTATTGACACTCGGATCTATTGACACTCGGATCTATTGACACTCGGATCTATTGACACTCGGATCTATTGACACTAGGATCTATTGACACTGGATCATTGACACTCTCGGATCTATTGACACCGGATCTATTGACACTCTCGATCTATTGACACTCGGATCTATTGGACACTGGATCTATTGACGCTAGGACTCCATTGACACTAGGACCTATTGGACACTCGGATCTATTGACACTCAGGATCTATTGACACTCAGGATTCATTGACACTAGGATTCATTGACACTAGGCTCTATTGACACTAGGATCTATTGACACTAGGACCTATTGACACTAGGACCTATTGACACTAGGCTCTATTGACACTAGGATCTATTGACACTAGGATCTATTGACACTCGGATCTATTGACACTCGGATCTATTGACACTAGGATCTATTGACACTAGGATCTATTGACACTCGGATCTATTGACACTCGGATCTATTGACACTAGGATCTATTGACACTCGGATCTATTGACACTAGGACCTATTGACACTAGGCTCTATTGACCCTAGACTCTATTGACACTAGGACCAATTAGCACTGGGACCTATTAGAATTTGAATCTATAAGCACTAGGATCTATTGACTGTAAGATCTATGTGACACAGGGATCTATTATCACTAAGATATATTGACACTCGGCTCTATTGACCTCGGATCTGTAACAGGATCTATTGACACTAGGACCTATTGACACTAGGATCTATTGACACTCGGATCTATTGACACTAGGATCTGTCACTGGACTATTGACCTGGATCTGACACTAGGATCTATTGACACTAGGACCTATTGACACTCGGATCTATTGACACTAGGACCTATTGACTCGGATCTATTGACACTGGGACCTATGACACAGTTCTATTGACACTAGGACCTATTGACACTAGGATCTATTGACACTAGGACCTATTGACACTAGGATCTATTGACACTCGGCTCTGACACTCGGATCTATTGACACTGGGATCTATTGACACTAGGACCTATTGACTTGGATCTATTGACACTCGGATCTATTGAACTAGGACCTATTGACACTCGGATCTATTGACACTAGGATATTGACACTAGGACTATGACCTAGGATCTATTGACACTGGATCTTATTCACTAGGACCTATTGACACACGGATCTATTGACACTAGGACCTATTGACACTAGGTTCTATTGACACTGGGACCTATTGACACTAGGATCTATGACACTAGGCTCTATTGACACTAGGACCCTTGACACTCGGATCTATTGACACTAGGATCTATTGACACTAGGACCTATTGACACTCGGATCTGTGACACTAGGACCTATTGACACAGGATCTATTGACACTAGGACCTATTGACACTAGGATCTGTTGACACTAGGACCTATTGACACAGGATCTATTGACACTAGGACCTCTTGACACTCGGATCTATTGACACTGGCTCTATTGACACTCGGATCTATTGACACTAGGATCTATTGACACTAGGACCTATTGACACTAGGATCTATTGACACTCGGATCTATTGACACTAGGACCTTCACTGGATCTATTGACACGGATCTATTGACACTCGGATCTATTGACCTCGGATCTGTTGACCTCGGATCTATTGACCTCGGATCTATTGACACTCGGATCTATTGACACTCCGGATCTATTGACACTCGGATCTATTGAACTAGGACCTATTGACACTAGGACCTATTGACACTCGGATCTATTGACACTAGGATCTATTGACACTAGGATCTATGACACTAGGATCTATGACACCGGACTATTGACACTAGGATCTATTGACACTAGGATCTATTGACACTAGGATCTATTGACACTAGGACCTATTGACACTCGGATCTATGACACTAGGATCTATTGACACTCGGATCTTGACACTCGGATCTATGACACTCGGATCTATTGACACTAGGACCTATTGACCTCGGATCTATTGACACTAGGATCTATTGACACTAGGATCTATTGACACTAGGACCTATTGACACTAGGACCTATTGACACTCGGATCTATTGACACTAGGATCTATTGACACTAGGACCTATTGACACTAGGCTCTATTGACCCTAGACTCTATTGACACTAGGACCAATTAGCACTGGGACCTATTAGAATTTGAATCTATAAGCACTAGGATCTATTGACTGTAAGATCTATGTGACACAGGGATCTATTATCACTAAGATATATTAATAATAGGGTCTATAACAATAGGATCTATTGATGCTAGTCTCTATTAACGCTCAGAGATGAGTAACAACGGCGCTTCTTGCCACCCAGGCGGAGTTTCCTTTAACATCACAGCACTTACACACCCGTCCAAACGACTTATTATACAAAGTCCTTATCTCCAACACAGTGCCACAGTGAGAGCTCTTGAACACATACACACACCCTACAGGCTGATAATAACATCGCACAGACCATCTACACTGATGGATCATCTAACACTGTCTGTGGGAGGGCTGGAAGTGCTGTCATTGTGACTCAGCCTAACGGTAATGTAGTATAGAAAGGAGCAAGAATTAGTAACTGGGCATCCACTTTACAAACTAAATTAGTTGTCATACTCACAGCCATAAAGCTTGTTGAACCCACTGTTACGCGCTTGTCTCTGAGGCCAGACACAAATATACCGTACCCTACTGACCAGGGTGTCAAGGTCAAACTGTTGTGGTTCCCTCTCACATAGGCCTTAAAGAACATGACAGAGTTGATGTCCTCGCCAAACTCGCGTCTAACGAAGACATGTTGAATACAATCTGGGTCTGTCAAAAAGAACCCTTAAAACTGTAATTGGGAAGGAACTTATTGATGAATTTGACGCAAGTAAACAAGTGCAAACAGGCACTAGTCGATCCATAGTTTACTATGAGATGTATCAAGTGAAATATGTATATGGAGCAAGTAACAAGATCGATATATTATGTTGTAGCCGCTAGACTAAGGTTAGGGTACAAGTACTTCTGGCAGTACGTATATCCCTCAAGTAGATATGAAAAAACTAAATGTTAAGTGTGTGGCCAGACACCATCACTACGTCCTTGAATGTGTGAAAATATAACCATTACACTGTATGTGTAATGGGACAGCATTTCATCTCTAATGGCAAGATAGCTGATATTTTGGAAACTTGTAACTAAATTAATTTCTATGTACAGAACTAAACGCACAATGTACTCAAATGGTTCGCATATAGATGTGAGTAACATTAAATGTAAAGTGTGTGGTCAAACATAATATGGCCTCACACTGCAGTGTGTCCCTCACTAAAGTGTGAATAAGTGAATTCTTTTGTGCAGAACTAAACAAATGTTCTGATAATACTCTGATCACTGGAGTGATCAGAGTGATCACACCCGTTGTGACCTCTGTTCTGTAATCCTTCTTGTCCTACCGCTCACAGGATGAGTATAGGCTGCACAATAAACTAGCCGCTGTCTGCGGCAAAATTCAAAATATTAAATTCTCTCTTTCCCACACTTCCTCCATCCTTCTTATCTCTCCCACCCCCTTCCCCTCTTATCCTCCCACTTTCCATCACTCCCTCATTCCCTGTCTCCCACCCTTACTCCCTCACTCCCTCTCCGTTCAGCAGCTGGCAATTACAAAGTGCTCGTGACCTTGTAAGATCAAATATATTAGTCTCCCCTTTTACAGTTACACAGGAGTCTTGTTTTCTGACGTTCCTGGAAAAAAAAAACACGCTTATGAAATTTCCCAGCCAAAGGAGGACTGACGTTATGTTATGAGAAAGACATTCCATACGTTCACACGACCTGATGTAATTAACGTTTGTTAGAGGGACTGTCTGGGCTGTGAGGGTGACTGTGACCTGGGTATTGGCTGTGAGGGTGGCTGTGACCTGGGCTGCCATTACTACCTGGGTATTGGCTGTGAGGGTGGCTGTGACCTGGGTATTGGCTGTGAGGGTGGCTGTGACCTGGGTATTGGCTGTGAGGGTGGCTGTGATCTGGGTATTGGCTGTGAGGGTGACTGTGACCTGGGTATTGGCTGTGAGGGTGGCTGTGATCTGGGTATTGGCTGTGAGGGTGACTGTGACCTGGGCTGCCATTACTACCTGGGTATTGGCTGTGAGGGTGGCTGTGACCTGGGTATTGGCTGTGAGGATGACTGTGATCTGGGTATTGGCTGTGAGGGTGGCTGTGATCTGGGTATTGGCTGCAGGGTATGGATCTGCACATGAGGATGGCTGTGATCTGGGTATTGGCCAGAGGGAGATCAGACTCCACGTGCCATTACTACCCAAGTATTGGCTGTGAGGGTGGCTGTGACCTGGACATTACAGAGGATGACTGTGATCTGGGTGATTGGCTGAGGGTATTGTGATCTGCACATGAGGGTGGCTGTGACCTGGGTATTGGCTGTGAGGGTGGCTGTGACCTGGGTATTGGCTGTGAGGGTGGCTGTGATCTGGGTATTGGGCTGTGAGGGTGGCTGTGAGCTGGGTATTGGCTGCGTGAGGATGACTGTGATCTGCATGAGGGTGGCTGTGATCTGGGTATTGGCTGGGAGAGGGTGGCTGTGAGCTGCACACAGAGGGTGACAGACCCGGGTATTGGCCAGAGGGTGGCTGTGATCTGGCATTGGCTGTGAGGGCGGCTGTGATCTGCATTGGCTGTGAGGGTGGCTGTGAGCTGGGTATTGGCTGTGAGGGTGGCTGAATCTGGGCTGCCATTACTACCTGGGTATTGGCTGTGAGGGTGGCTGTGAGGGTGGCTGTGACCTGCATTGGCTGTGGAGACGGCTGCAGACCTGGGTATTGGCCAGAGGTGGCTGTGACCTGGGTATTGGCTGTTAGGGGTGGCTGTGACCTGCATTGGCTGTGAGGGTGGCTGTGATCTGCACACAGGAGGGTGGCTGTGAGCTGCATTGGCCAGAGGGTGGCTGTGACCTGCACACAGAGGATGACTGTGATCTGCACACAGGAGGGTGGCTGTGATCTGGGTACATGAGGGTGGCTGTGATCTGGGTATTGGCTGTGAGGGTGGCTGTGAGCTGGTGCTGACAGAGGGTGGCTGTGACCTGGGTATTGGCTGTGAGGATGACTGTGATCTGGGTATTGGCTGTGAGGGTGGCTGTGATCTGGGTATTGGCTGTGAGGGTGGCTGTGAGCTGGGTATTAGCTGTGTTAATTAAGGTTAGGTAGTTGTGTGCGCATTGTTGTGGAAAAGTGTGTCTCGGGCTGTCATTTAGTGAAGGCTTCAGTAAGTGTGTAGCCTAAGTTATGGCCTCATACAGGTGATGTGTCTCTTGCAGGTGTGAGTAAGGCAAACTGCCAGAGGTACTTACATCCTAACCTTAGTCTCACGGTTACAACATGTTGTAATCTAGTGATCTTGTTACTTGCTCCATATAAGAGTACACGTTTTACTTGAAACATCTCATCACGGTAGACACTAGACAATAGACTGACTATTGCCTATTTGCACTTGTCTGCTTGCTTCAAATTCATCAACAGGTTATTTCCAGATTACATTCTTGTGGGTTCTTTTTAACAGACTTAAATTGTATTCAAGACGCGAGTTTGACTAAGGCATTAACTTTGTCATGTTCACTGAGGCCTGTATGGGGGAATCCACAGCAGTTTGATCTTGACACCCCGGTCAACACGGTACACACATATTTGTGTCTGGCTTCAGAGACAAGCGCGTGACAACTTGAGTTGAGGGTGTCGAGGGCAAGTATTGAGTATAGGGAGTCAGTGATGGTGAGACTGTCAGTGACGTTGACTTCAACAAGTTTTATTTCTGTGAGTATGACAACTAATTCAATTATTGATTTTCACTCCTTTCTCAACTGTATCGCCGTTGGGCTGAGTCACTTTTAATCCTCCCACAGGCAGCGTTAAGATTGCTTGATTGGTTATGAATACTACCTTAGCGGCCCAACAGTCGGAGAAAATTATGTTAAAAGGTAAAGCTAAAGTAAAAATGGCGTAACAAGAAAAACACGGAAAGAAAAACGACCCAAAAGGAAACGACAAGAATAAAGAAACCTATAAAAACGAGATGAAGTCAGTCTCCTCCAGAAACATAGTCTGTGTTAAGAGATCCATCAGTGGCTGTAGATGGTCTGGGTGGTGTTATCATCAGTCTGTGTCGTATGTGTGCAACAGGTCTCACTTTGGCGGTGTGTTGAAGATAAGGACTTTATGTAAATAGTCGTTCGAAGGGTTATGGTAAGAAGTGCTGTTGTGTCTCAACTTTGTACAGGTGGTCTAATCCAAAGATATTCATATGTGTAGCTGTATTTTGGATCCATTTAGACTCACCAGTCCCATGGTTCATACATTCTAGCAATTTTAAGGAAACAATGTTATCAGGATCACCACGCAGAAGCCTCAGGGCTATCATGAGGTTGACTTCAATTATTCTATCTTTAACACTGGGTATACCTAGTTCTTTCCTCATATTAAGTACTTCAGTGCCCATGGGACAACTTAAGATAAGCTGATTTTTTTTTCTCGAGTTTGTTAATGCCTTTCCCGTCACGAAGAACCAGGGCTGGTGCGTGATAGTCTATCAGAGATCTCATATAGCCTTGGTACATTGTTTTAACAATTGTGATATTAGCACCATAATGTGGGTTGGGCGAGGAGAGAGAGAGAGGCGACCAGGATGCAACTAATAATGTGTAAAAATTCCGAAAACGAAAGGCGCAGTGTTTATCGTGTGTGTGTGTGTGTGTGTGTGTGTGTGTGTGTGTGTGTGTGTGTGTGTGTAATAATAATTAACTGTTTATTGAAAGAGCATGGCAGCCGGAAGGCTGAAAATATATAGTTACATAATTGGGGAATGGGTCTCTTGATTTACAAACAATATACAAGTAACATATGTGATACAAACATGACATATAATAATTAGGTAGGGAGAAGCTCAAACTACAGGGCATTTCAACATAATGACAGTGCGAAAAGTAAGATTGACTGGGAGTGAATACACTGGTTGATTACAAGTTATTGATATATAATTTTTACAATGGTTGGGACTGGGCTGTTCTTCTAGCCATCAGGTGTGTGTGTGTGTGTGTGTGTGTGTGTGTGTGTGTGTGTGTGTGTGTGTGTGTGTGTGTGTGTGTGTGTGTGTGTGTGTGTGTGTGTGTGTGTCTGTCTTCCTCCCTCTGATAACTCTCACCATCATCGATGAGGTTGATCCAAACTTTGCTAATAGATGTACCACAACAACACGGCCCACGCGTGTTCCATAACCAGCACTACATCCCGTCATTAGCGTCCACATAGTTACGTCGGTCCTTCAACTTTACTTCAGCGAGGGGGAGTTCTGGGGAGGAAAAGAAGAGAGAGACAGACAGACCCCTGGAACCAATACTGATTGACGGCCAGGAGTTCACTGGACTGACAGACCGTGAAAAGTGTATGAGTTATATAAGCACGAACACAAGGGGCTGATGTGAAGTGGTGCCCTGTACACCTCTCGCCAGTATGGGGTCCCATAAAGGGTCTTAGGGTGAATATTACTCGCAAAGGAAGGAGTTACAATGCACACAAAGCTAAAGCACACAGAAAATTTCCGCAAATAATAGTAAATCCTACACTGAGACTCTATCCTTAACTAGCCTTAACTAGATCCTTTCACTTAGAACCAGTTTGGAGACAAAATTAGAATAGAAAATATTTATCCCCCAAAGTTATAACAATAACTTAATTTTGTAAATAGTGAACGTATCAAAGAGTCTCAACGTAATTATGATAGTTATTTTTGTATGTTATTTATGTTATTAATCAGCCAGTCAGGTACAGTCCCCTTCACCAGTGCGTTTACAGGGGCTCATCATATAAACATTCCACGGTTCATTTCATTGAATTATTTGTTTTAATATTGTTTTAATGTGATTCCATAGTGTGTTTACTACTGCGAGTTTCCTTCTGTCAAATGTAAACAAACAAAAGACTGCACAAACCCTGACGAGCCCCTGTAAACACACTAGTGAAGGGGACTGTGCATATTTACAACTTAATTTAGGAGAACTATTAAAACCATAGGAACGTTTATGAATGAGGACTTTACTTTCTAGTTATAGTCCACTTTTGGTCGTTTATCCCGATATTTTGAAGACTTTCCTGAGTGAGTTTAATATTGTGTCAAGTGTGAGTGTGTCGTGTGAGTGTGTCATATGTGAGTGTAAAGTGCGAGTGTCAAGTGTGAGTGTTTTAAGTGTGTGTCAAGTGCGAATGTGTCGTGTGAGTGTGTCATATGTGAGTGTAAAGTGTGAGTGTCAAGTGTGAGTGTTTTAAGTGTGTGTCAAGTGCGAATGTGTCGTGTGAGTGTGTCATGTGAGTGTAAAGTGTGAGTGTGTCATATGTGAGTGTAAAGTGTGAGTGTCAAGTGTGTGTGTGTGTGTCAAATGTGAGTGTGTCATGTGTGTGTGTCAATTGTGAGCTTAAGTGTGAGTGTGTCAAATGTGAGTGTGTCAAGTGTGTATGTGTCGTCAAGTGTGTGTGAAGTGTGAGTTTGTCAAGTGTGAATGTGTCAAGTGTGTGTGTGTGTGTGTGTGTGTGTGTGTGTGTGTGTGTGTGTGTGTGTGTGTGTGTGTGTGTGTGTGTGTGTGTGTGTGTGTGCATATTAACACACACGTACGAACTTGGAATAAAGAGGAATACCTTGGCTGCCAAAAGGTTCTATTTCAGCACACTTAACATTCAACCAACACCCTTAACTACTACTGCTCTGTGTGAGAGAGAGAGAGAGAGAGAGAGAGAGAGAGAGAGAGAGAGAGAGAGAGAGAGAGAGGTGGCAGGTGGCAGAGCTCAAGTGTTACAGTAAACATCTGCCTCTCCAACACCTGTCAAGCTGCCAGATTGTCCTCTTCACAAGCACTAGTCTATTAACTCGAGTACGTCTTCCTCCTTCTCCTCCTCCACCACCTCTTCCTTCTTTTCCTCTTCCTCTTCTTCCAACACCTCTTCTTCCTCTTCCTGTTACACCTGCTTCACCTGTACCACATCACCACCACCACCTCCTCCTCCTCCTCCTCTACTCCTCTTGTCAGCGTTTAATTAGCACGCGATAAGATAATAACGACTGTGTGATATTAATACAACTCTTTATGTCTGCAACCACCTCAACACGACCCACAGTGACTTTATTACCCGTCCTGTAGGTAGAAACACAGGCCTAGGTTTATTGCTCTCAAAGATTAATAACCTATTATTTCACTTCTTAACTTGAAAAATTAATGAGAGTAGAGTCGTAAGTGTATAATTGGCCGCCATCTCTGTGTCACAAGTGTAAACACCAAATTTTGGTTTAAGGTAGAATCTTTAGTGTAATTTCGATGCTACTGGAGGCTGCCATTATCGTGAAGTGGGCTATTGAAGCAGCCAGTCACGGAGGAGGGAGATTAACGTGAGGATGTTGTAGTGATCAAACGATTCCAATCAATTACCTTCAGCTTTACCTAACCCAAGCGTTGAGATCGACTGGGCCCACGTCTAATGGTTAGGTTAAATTAGGTTATGTTGAGGTCTAATATGGCTGGGGTTTATTAGGAGTGGGACTAATTAAGACTGAAACCCATCATTACTGGTCCTAAACTTATTGGTTATATTAGGATATGCTTGGGGTGAGGGGTACCATAACTGACGGCCATATCAGGAGTCTGTCGTAAGGGCCGGAGGAAGGACGGAGGCAGGAGGGTGTTGGTGGGTTGGTGTCACAAGTTCACAACTACCGGATGTGATAGAGTGAGTGAAGGCCGTCGACATGTGGAGGAAGCTCAACACAGGTGGGACCGAACACTTGAAGAAGGCTCAGGAATCACTGTAGCCTCGAGTCCTGTCAATTAGGTATATAGAGGTCGAGTCTCCCAGGAGCGATACTCCATGATGGTACGCATCGGTATAGTTACAATATTGATCAGACGTGAAGTATCTTGTCATCTGAGCAAAATTCCCGGTACAGAGGGTATTTTGGAGACATAATCTTATACCGTGCATCGCTTGTTAGCTGCAAGAGGTTACATGGAGCTACCAAGACAGGTTAGAGGTGGAACTGAGATCAGGTGTACAGTATGTTTATTGTGTCCAACAGCGGTGTTATGGAGCCTTCAGAAGAGATTCGAAAGTTAAAAGAAGCTTTTAAAAGAAAGATTAAGAAGTATTTGGGTTTCTGAAGTTTTGAAATTCATCAGATTAAGTCTATGTCGCAGGAAAAAAGAAATCATATCCGATTTGAAGGAAGTAGTAAGGGTGGGGCGAGAAAGAGGATGAGCGAGAGAAGACGTAGTCGTAGTGGGTGTCGGGTCCTGAGCGTTACTCTAGGAAGAAGAACAAAATATTGATAAACGGAAGGAAAAGGCAAGAGGAAGAAAAGAGCCTTGAGGAACACTACTGATGGCTGATCCACCAACTCCTGCAGAACT